CAGTATTGCAGATATTACTGTTGAAATGAAACTCGGAAATGATTTCTCCAAACCCCTCTTCATAGATGAGAAACTTCCAAGAGAGAAAGCCCTTGGTGTGACGGCAGTGTGGATGGGAGAGTGGGGCTGGAGCCCAGGGCTCTGGACTTCGGCCTCCATCTGCGTGTTTGCCCTGCCGGGCCAGGCAGGAGGCAAGCTCTCTGGCTGGGGACAAGGGCCAGCTTTTCTTTGGGTTGTGATCCTCTCAGGCCTGTGCTGAGGATAATACTCAAGTTTCATTGTAATCAAGAGCTTGAGGACTGTTTTCAGTACAAAATATCTCCACAGTCCTGATGAGGTTGACTGGAACTTAGACTGAAGGCGCTCACAGATTCCACCTGTATTTCCAGAGCCCTATTATTGTTCCAAAAAGCAATGCCGTCCTTAGGGACTCAAGCCGTGAGTAGCTCTGTTACTCTAAGCTATGAAGTAAATGACACTATATCTAAGATGGTTAGGTCCAAGGCCAGCTTGATAAGTGTTAGCTATTACTTACAGCTCCTCAGTACATACTTGTTGAACAGGTGAATGAGTGGGTGGGATGAACAAACAAATGTTTGGTAAATTGATAGAACATATTACTTAAATAGACCCCCACTGGTGGTGAACACTGTCAGCCCCTAAATCATCTTACGCTTAATTTGGTCAGAAGAGGGCAGCATTGAGTCAAACATCCCCATTCGCCAAAAGGCTTCTAGGATTTACAACCCTCTTTCACATGCTCACCTCCTAATCTTGGAAGGCTTTTTTTTTTTTTAATTCCTAGGCTATTCTTTATTTTTTAATTTTAACATGATAGTTTATTTTCCCATCATTTTGTGCCTTTTTCCATCTTAGTTGTTCATTATCTCCCCCCCCCACACACACACACCCCACTCCAGTTCTTTATGCTCCCGCTATGAGTGAAACCATCTGGTATTTTCCTTTTCTTTCTGACTTATTTCATTGAGCATGATCCCTTCTTGGAAGGCTTTTAACTGCGAGCTCTGAGATAGGCTCTTCTACCAGCCCCTGAGAGGGGAGGGTCAACGCCTTCACACTGTACACCATCTGGGGGTGACTGAGGGCTGGAACTTATTCTCAGAGCTCTGGGGAAAGAGAATAAAATAGTTGAGGTCTCTGGCTGGAAGTAGGTGGTGAAAGGGGAAGAGGGACTCATGCTCTCAGCCAAATCCCGAGGAAATGCTCTAGGACCTGGGAGCCCTCCTGAGCTTCTCAGACCCAGGCACTCAGCTGAATTGTGCTTTCCTGGCCTACCTGGAGCTCAGCAACTACCCCCCACCCCCAGTTTACTAAACACCTCCCCTCCTCAAGGTGGTTGGCCTCCTGGGTGGCCCTCCCTGGAGCCCTGGAGAGTAAGACCCATCGTCAGGCCCTCCTCATACTTTGTACCTCTTGAAGTCCTTCCCACTTCCACTAAATCTATAAAGTTGTGTATTTACCTGATTTCACCTTAAACTGTAAACTTCTAGAGAACAGGGAGCTAATTCTTAGCCAACCTCAAGACTCAGATGTATTCCTTTCTTTGAGAGAAATGTCTTACCCACTCACCTCATCCCAACACCTTGGCATCCCTCATCTGCCCTCCAGATAGCACTCCACACCTCACACACTCAGCAGGTCTGCTCTGAGCTGCATGAACACCCTCTTTTCCTACTCTGGACCCACACAGACATACGGAGATTATGAAGTGGCTGAGGACCAAGACAGAAGTGAGACCGAGTAGACCCACTGAATGTTTTTCCCAGAGCTCCGCAGTCATGGGCAATTGGGTGTGTGGGCAAGGGCAAGTTCCCCTCCCAGAATGAGCAGGCAGTCTCCAGAAAGCTCAGCTCAGCTGGATCCAGCACCCCCTACCACGTGACCTGGGAATTCCCGGAGACCTCCTCCATCCCTGATGTCAGCAGACTCCCTGCCGGGCATCTTGGCTCCCACAGACCAGACCTCCCTTTAAGGAATTCAAGAGTTGAGTTTCAGCAGTTAAGATCATTTCCCAGGCAAGTACTCTTCCGGCTCTGTCTGCCTGCCTCCTCCCTGGCCTGTCTGCTGTGGACAGACAGCAAGGGAGGTACCGAGGTACATGCATCACTAAAGCCATGTCTTGTGTCCCCGTGGGGGCCATCAGGTACATCTCAGCTGCAACAGGGGAGATCTCTTTTCTCTGTGGCCTTTGGTCACCCCTGGCTTGTTTCCTAAGTAGGGGCTCACATACTGGTCTAAGGAAGCGGAAGGGGTGCAGAGCACTGCCCCGGGGCCATCAAATGTTGAGCTGGTAATGGAGGGACATCACCTTTGAGTCCTTCTGCTAGTCTTTTAATCCTCCGTACGTGCAATTTTTCATTCATAAGCATCTGCTGAGCATCTATTTTTTTTTAAAGATTTATTAATTTGCGTATACAGAACAGGTACAGACCAGAGGTGCAGGGGGTGGTGAGAGGATTCACCAGAGACAGAGTGAGGAGCAGAACAGGTAGACTGATGAAGTACACTGCTGAGGGTCAGGAGAGGTCTGCTTAAGCTATGTGGGTCAGGAGAGGTCTGCTGAAGCCATGTGGGTCACCTCTGGGGCCGGGGATCACACCCGCACTGAAGCGGCTGTGGCTAGTGCTGTCTCCTAAACCATCGGCCACATGGGAGGGCCTAAGGACCTTTTTTTTTTGCCCAGCGGGGGTGTTGGGGAAACCTGACGGAATCCACAGGAGTTGAGCGTAAGCCTGAAAGGGGATCTTAGACCTTAGACTCATCTGTAAAATGCTTTGATCTTACTTATAAGGAAATGTTGATTCATTACGAATTGTCACAGGTCCTTCAAGCCTCAGCTTAAAAGACTGTCCTCAGGAAACTGTCTATGAGTAATATCCTCCTTCTGGGCTAGGGGTTCTCTGCTCTTGGACATCCCAAGGACCTTTTGTTCGTCCCCAATTCTGGTCACATCTTCCCCCGCAGAGGATTTGCTTATTTCTCACTAAACTGGGAATTCTCTCAGGGTGGAGGCTGTGTCTGTCTTGTCACCATGGATCCAGCTCCTAGACTATGAAGAATGTATGGAGAATGAATGAAATGATTGCTGGAAGGCACAGAACTGGCTGGTGTTGGTCAGGACAAGAACTCAGCTCCCCCCAGCACTCAACTCTGCCCCACTCTTGTTACCCATACTGCCTCTTGAGAACCCTAATCTCCCTGGATAGCCCAGTTAGCTAGGTCCCCCAGAAATGGCTGCAGATCTGAGGAAGAAGGGGGGCAACTAGTCAGCTGGGCCTCATTCTGTTTTCACAGATGCCCAGAGTAAAAGGGGAGGCCAGAAGAAGGGAGAATGCCAAGCTGGCTATCTCTTGTGGCCCTCCAGATGTGAGGGAGGGAGGTAGATTTCCTGCCTAAGACAGACCCTCTCCAGCCATAAAGGAGGCAAGGACCCCATTTCCCACTCTAAACTTACAATAACAAGGATCAAAGAATCCATGGAAGTAGGAAAGTGGGCAGACACGAAGTGCAAAGTCAGTTACTGGAGATCTAGCTTGATGCTCAGAGCTCCCAGACCACGTTGCTGGAGGTGTCTGGTCGCCCAGGCCCCGGCGCTGGGGCTTCTCATGGCTGCGTGAGTGCATTGGGTGGTGGTATGGTCACTCCACAGGACTGAGTTCTCATGAAGACTCGGGAGAAATGCTCCTTCCTCCCCTTCATGCTTCACATTTAGAGCAGGAGGAGAACCTAGGGATATTCTCATTTCTATCTAAATGGGACTTCTAGTGCTCCAGACCTTAAAGCCCAGTCCAAACTAGTGACCTGCGAAGTCATCCAATTCCAAGATCATAAAGAGGAAAGCCTTGGTTGGACACCTATGTACAGATTTAGGGACCCCAGATAAATAGTAGGGATATAATGCATCTTTATATTACTCAACCGGTTTTCTTAGACTGTCCCACTGCCTTCCTACTCTCTTCTAATAGTTCATAAATTCCACCTCTTGAGAGAACCACTCAAATCTTCTTTGACGGAGTGAGAACTTTCCAGAAAAGGATTTTGGGAATCCAGTGAAGATTGACCTACCTAACTGAAGAGAGGTGAACTCACAACTGTAACAGCTTTTCATCAGTCTCCCCTACCTCCCAACTTGGCACGAGTGTGCCTGTGCCCCTGTCCATCCTTTTAAGATTTTATTTATTCATACAGAACTGGGGTACAGGCCAGAGATGCGGAGGGTGAGAGGATTCACCAGAGACAGAGTGGGGAGCAGAACAGGCAGATCCACGAAGTACACTGCTGAGGGGAGCAGCAGGCGGGTCAGGAGAGGTCTGCTGGGCCATGTGGATCTCCTCAGGGCAATTAGGGATCGAACTCATGCGGAAGTGGCCTAAGCTTCTCAGTGCTGTGCTTTAACCCGCTGCGCCACCTGGGAGGGCCCCCCCCTTATAATCCCCCCCTTATAATCCCCCCCTTATAATCTTAAAGGGACTTTATAGATTCTGACTGAGCGGAGCAAATGACTCGGAATGGGGACGTCTTTGGGTGTCAGCTCTCCCGGGTGGCCCCCAGTTGTTGAGAAACCAACCAACAGAGGCACCATGGGGCGGAAACCGGGACCCAGAGCTACTCAGAGGCCAGAGCAGCTCCAGGGACCCTCGAAAAACCCAGACCTCAGTAGTACCAGCCCACCATGCAGCCTCCACCGACACCCCCGCCTCTCGCGTTTGGTCCCGCGGACCTCGGGGTCCGCGTTGACACCTTTCGCTGGAGTGGCGGACGGCGAGCCAATGAGAGAGGCCGCAGTCACACAGCCTCGCGAGCGGGCCAATGGGCGTGGGGGGCGTGGCCAGGGCCTCCGCGGCTCTTTATAACAACTCGGAACGCCGCGGCTGGCGTGCGCTCCGGGCGGCTGTGGTTCCAGGCCGGTGGCCGACGAGTGGCCGGGCTCCAGCTCTCCCTGCGCGGAAGCTTCCCCTCCGCCCGGCTCACGCCTGCTCGCCATGGAGTCGTTGGCTTTCCCCCGGCGCGCTGGCCCGGCACCCTCGGCGGCCGCCGTCGCCCAGTCTGGGGAGCTCCCCCGGCCGCTGGCAGACGGGCTCATCAAGTCGCCCAAGCCCCTGATGAAGAAGCAGGCGGTGAAGCGGCACCACCACAAACACAACCTGCGGCATCGCTACGAGTTCCTGGAGACCCTGGGCAAGGGCACTTACGGGAAAGTGAAGAAGGCGCGGGAGAAGTCGGGGCGCCTGGTGAGTAGACGCCTCCCTCCCGCTCCCGCTCGGAGCGTGGCGCGGCGGACTGGGGGTTTGGCCAGCGGGACTTAGGAACTGACTGAGGGTAGACGGGAAACGAGTGTCTTGCTCGGTGGCTGGACAGGGGACTACTGTCTTGCTCAGTGGAGTCACCGTCTTTCCCACGCCGAGGCTGCCGTGTGTGGGGGCAAGGGGCGTTCAGTGCAGGTCCCGTGCTCGCGGGCCCGGGACACCCCGACAGCAGGTGGTGGCAGCAGATGTGTGAGGTGGAGAGTCGGCATGGACCACATCATCAAAGACAATAGTGTGCCCTGTTGGGATGAGAAGGCCCCGGAAAGGAGATGGACTTTAGTTGAATTTACATGGAAGAGATTTCCCAATCGAGTGAAATGGAGAAGAGGAAGTACAGGCACCTGACCTTAGACGGGGGTTAGTGAGTTTGTGGATAAGTGAATGAAAGACCTGTCCGGTGCCTTGTTTTTCCTAGTAATCCAGGGCCCTGCATATGGGGAGTGCTGCGAGGGTGGGTGGGGGATGGGTTTGACACTTAGGTCTTTCCAGATGGAATGTTGAATCAAAGCGATTGTGGGCTTTTTGGTTGCTGTTCCAGAAAATGTCAAACCAGGCCCTGGTCTATTTGGACAAGGCCACTGGTGCCAGATACCTTTGCATTTGGGGTCTTTTTAGGAATGTGTCCTGTTAATTTGGGATAAGAGTTACTACAATACTGTAGTAGTAGGGGTGGTAATAGTCAGCTGTGTGACCTTGAGCAGCTTACTGGTCTCCCTGCTTGTGAAAACAAAGAAAATACAGCCTCCCTCTCCAGCTGCTATGAGGACTGAATGAACTCCGAATGAATTCTGTAGTTTCTGACCCACAGAACCCAGAGTGAGAACTGATGTGTCTGGAAAGGCCAGCCCTGAACAGAGGGCAAATTTGACAAAAGTTAGCTAGCAGTGTTCTCGAACTTGAATTTAACATGTTTCAGAACCACCTGAAGTACCTGTTTAAAATACTCTCTGTTGTCCACTCAGGGGGCTTTATTCTGACGGTCTAGGGTGGTGCTAAACAATGGGCTAAAATTTTAGCAAGCCTTTCAGGGCAGGTAGTCTCGGGGTCTGTGCTGGACGCTGGAAGCATGTGTACGTGTGTGCGTGCGTGAGCGTGCGTGTGCGTGTGTGTGTGTGTGTGGCCATGGTTTACCTTATCAGCTAGCACAGCAAATTGTTTGCCTTTGCAGCGAATAGCTGGTTTGAAATACAAGAAGTCATTTTATTGGTGAAGAGGAGTGGATGCTGGAGAAAGGGGGTGGACACTAGCTCCATCAATAGGACCGAGTGTGTTTTTCTTGCTAACGCCTGGCACAGTCCCCAGTTACCCGCTGCCAGGTTACAGCTATTGGGCAATCATGGACTTCCTGGCTTCGCTTTTCTTTCTTTTTCTACACGGCATGAGGACCAGGTGAGGGCCCAGGCCTGAGACCACTGGGCCCACACTTTGTCAGGGGCTTAGATGGAAAATAGCAGTCTGGCTTGTGCCTCAAGGTGGTGGTGGGGCAGCAGGATGAGATTGAATGTGGACTGGGAGGACGAAGAAACAGGGAAACTGAAGTCCAGCAATCCTATCAGGTTCTGGACTGGCCACTGCATGCAGGTGTGTGTGTGTATGAATGAGTGTATATGTGTACATACACAAGTGTGTACATGAGAGAGAGAGTCACAATCTCATAGATTCTGGAGCGAGATAAGCCAGCTTTCAGTTTTCAAACCTCAGTGGCTATAGGCAGGGATTCCAGCTCTTATTACATCAGAACAGAGCATTCAGAAGATCCTCCCTGTCCCAAGCCTTTGAGTATAGGCAGGGAGCCAAGAGCAGGAGCAAGGGGACCAGCTCTAAGCCTCCCTGACCCATAGATCCAGCTTCTTCTTCTGCAGGGAACTTACTCAGGGATGTCCCCCCCCCCCCAAGAGTAATCACCTGCTGTGCTAATGGTTTCTCAATTCTGGAGGAATTCTCTTCCCCACCCCACCCCCACACTGAGGCTGATTGTCTTTCCCTGAAAGAACGGGGGCCCTGGGGCTTTGGGATACTTCAGTGGGGACAGCAGTAGGGAGCTGCCCAAGACCTCCCTAAAATGAACTGAAAATGTCAGTGGGGGCTCGATTTAGAGGAAAGTCTGCTGGCTGACTGCCACCCCAATTTTCCCTACACTTTTCTTACACACTCTCATTCCCAGCCAGCCTAGACAAGATCTCAGGGCCAGATGGGACTGTCCAGAGGGAGGGGTAGGAGGTGGGGTGGGCAGAACTAATAGCTACTCCAGGAGAGCATCAAAGGAAAGACAAATATTTGCTCTGGATCTTCTAGTCTCTGAGTACATTCCTGGTATCCAAATGACATTTCCTCCTGACTCTTCCAGCCCCCCTAACCACCCCTCCTCCTAAAGAGAAAATCACCTGCTGGGGGCTCCCCTGGGATGGTGGAGCACCCACCAAAACTTTGTGGATGATCTGCATGGAAGGGATACTGTGATGCTAGAGAGAGTATCCAAGTGGATGGTGACTGGTGCATCTGTCTATTTTATATATTGGATTGGTGGGCTGGAGTGGAAGGGCTCTATTTTTTTGAATATTTATTTTATTTATTTATGCTTTCAAGAGTTGTGGTATAAGCCAGAGGTGTGGGGAAGGGGATGAGAGATTTTTCCCAGAGTGGGAAGCAGAACTGCTGAGGGGAGCAGCAGGCAGAGAGACAAAGAGAGGTCTGCTGTGCCATATGGGTCAGCTCCCTGGCTGGGGATGGAACTGCTGCTGCAGTGGCTGCTGACAGCTTCGTAGTGCTGAGACTTAACCCCTTGAGCCACCAAGGAGGCCCCTGGAAGGACTTTGAAAAGTTTGAAAATGAGATGGTCCTACCCTAGATGGGTAAACTGAGGCTGAGAGGAGTCTGTCTTCTCCTGTGCTGGCCTAGTGGCACTCCCGCAGCTCAGGCTCCTGACTTGACTGCCCCAGGCCCTGGATGACAAATAGTCTTGGGCTGGGAGTTGGCCTTGAGCTGAGCCAGGGCTTGTCTCCTGTGCTTTGTCATTCCACTCCTAGCCTCAACCCTGGCTCCACTGCTGCAGTGCTCCAGGGCTCTGGGCAGTGCTGAGGGTGGGCGGAGTCCTGAGGAACCAGCATCCACGCACACGGGCTGTGATGAGGGCTCCTGGGTGGGTGGACGACACCACATTCCCGGCAAGAAGGCTGCTGAAGCTGTGCACCCGAGCAAGGGGACACTCACAGGCGGCCCAGACTCAGGTCCCCCAGCTGGCAAGGTGTCAGGGAGCAGCCGTCTTTAAAATCTAGCCTTAAGAATTTTTTACTACTTAAGATCCCATCATTGCAATTTGTTTGACTCTGATGTCATTCCTTTATTAGATATTTACCTTTATTAGATATTTCAGTAGAAGTGCAATTCATATCTAGAAATAAGCTGAATAATCCAAAGTGGTCTTCAAAACACTAAATCTTGGGTCTCCCTGGTGACTTAGGGGTTAAGTCTCAGCATTGTCCCCACTAAGGATTGAGGCCTGAGTTTGATGATGCCCAGCCAGGGAGCTGACCCACATGGGCAGCAGACCTCTCTCACCTACTGCTCCCCTCAGTGGTGTATTTCAGTCAATCTGCCTGTTTTACTCCCTATTCTGTCTCTGATGAATCCTCTCACAAACCCTCTCCTGCACCTCTGGCCTGTACCCCAGTTCTGTATGCATAAATAAAATATTTTTTAAAATCTTTTTTATTAACAAAGATTTATTTATTTATGCATACAAGAACTGGGGTACAGGCCAGAGGTACAGGTGCGGTGAAAGGCTTCACCGGAGACAGAGTGGGGAGCAAAACAGGCAGATTGATGAAGTACACTGCTGAGGGGAGCAGCAGGCAGGTCAGCAGAGGTCTGCCCTGCCATGTGGTCACCTCCAGGGCGTGGATCCAACTCAGGCGTGGTTTTAGCTACTTAGTGCTGTGCTTTAACCATTGGGCCACCAGGGAGGGCCCCCCAAAAATCTATTTTTAATTAAATTTTTTTAAATTAAAAAAACTAAAAGAATAAGTCTGCTTAGCTCAGTGGGTTCAAATCTTTCTCTGCTGCTTGCCAGCCATGTGACTAGTATCTCTGTATCTCCACTTTCTCATCTGTGAAGTGGGGACTATAATAAGTCCTAGCTTGTGGGGGTTCTCATAATATCAAATACGATAATCTCTGTGAAGGGCTCAGCGGATCAGCTGACAGTGTCATTACTGCCGGCAGGACTGGCTTTGACTAGTCCCTCCTCTCCCTCTCCTGGGGGCCCCCAATTCTGGATCTGTCCTTCTCTGAGCAAGAGAACAGCTTCCTTAAGTCAAACACTTTGGTCTCTGCTTTGTTCACAGTGCTCCTCTCCTTCCTCACGGTTCCGCCTGAGCCACTGCCAAAGGCCTCTTCTGGGGACACGCCCCTCGAGCTCCTCCAGCACCTGCCTGCTCAGCAGCAGGGAGGGAGGCCCTGGCTGTGGAGACGCCCTTGGGCTCAAGCCAAACCACACAGTGGGCTGGGCAGAAAGCCTTGCTGAGAGCTGGCAGTGTGGGCCGCAGGTGTACACAGCCTGGACATTAGGGGAGGCATCGCAGACTGCTTCCAGAGCCCATGCCTGCTCTCTGCCTGGGTCTCCAGGAGGCCTTCTGGGGTGGTGAGCCTCCCGGCCCAGCTCTACCCAGCCCATTATCTAAGTGGGTCATCCTCCAGCTCCTTGCCCCACCTCCCAGACTTCAGCAGAGGAGTCAAGGATTTCTGCTAGCTCCTGGCTTTAGCTGTGACCAGACGCTGGTTTGTACCCACTCACCCACACTGAGAGCCAGCATCTCTGAGCCTATTCGAAGGCTTCTCTGCTGCCACCCTCTCCAGAATCCAGATCACTCCTGATCTGAGTTCCTGCCTGGGCAGCAGCGGGGAACTCACTGGGCCCCGGTACCATTTCTTTCGCCTGTATGCACATCTCTTGGTGGGATGGGGGTGCCCTGGTCCTAGCACACAAGGGGTAGCTCTTTCTCTTCTCCAGGGGCCGGAGACAGGGCATCTGCCGAGATGTCCGCTTCGTCTTCCATCCTGGACCCTGATTGTACCTGCATGTTTTCCAAGAACCTTAAAGCCATCGGTGCCCTTTCTGGACCCCACAGAGAATCATCCCCGCTACCTTTCCAACATGCAGGCCACGGGGGGGGGGGGGGGGGGGGGGGGGGGCTGAGAGACTCTTTGAGACAAAATGCATAGGAATCTGGTTCGTGCAGCTTAACAGAGATGGAGCTGGGGTCTCTGCAGAAACCAGCGCCTCCCTGGCTAGTAGCTGGTTCCCAGCTCAGAAGCAGCGCCTCAGAGAATGCTAGAGTTTGGAAGGCAGCTTCGTGACCCTGATGTGCACATTTGTGCAGTCTTTGTGGTCTTTTGCTCAAACCTTTGTTTCTGTCTTGAATGCCTTTATTGCTCTCTGCAACCCACAGCACCCACAGCAGGTGCTCTTAGCTCAGCAGACCCCAGTCATCCTGCAAGGTCTAAAGCAAAGTTCTCTCCCAGAGATTGTTTTCCTGCTCCTCCAGGCAAACAAACCTCTCTCCTATACTCCTGGAGACCCTGGGCAGGCAGGGAGCTCAACTGTGGTGTTTGTCATACTAGACTGGAGTTGACGTAATTGCCATCTTCCCTTGGATGGCGCAGGGACAGTCCAGTCTGTGCTGAATTCCCAGCACCTAACCTAGCACCAGACACACCACAGACATTCATCACGTTTGGAGAATAAATGCCCTTTCATTTGTTAGATGTGGCCATTAAAACTGGTGCCAGCTGGCCAGGTCATTGATGTGACCCACCTTGAGGTGCTTAGCTGGGGAAGGTTTGGATTGTGGGGCTGCCCACCCCTCCTCCGCTGGCCTGGCATGATCCTGGCATCCCACGGTCACCTTGTGCTCCCTGTGAGTAGGTGGTCATAAAATCTATCCTCTAAACTTGGAAACTTTGCAGAGTAAAAAGGGTTTTCTTAGTAACTTGTACTGAGATGTGTAGGCTCGTCTCCAGGCCTTCCTACCTCCGGGTGATCCACCAGTGATTGTTTCGCTCCTTCTTGGCTCTAGTCAGTAAATTTTGGTTCTAGAAAGTGGTTGCTCAGTTACCTTGCAGATGAAGACACAGATCCTCTGAATCAGTTCTGGTCATCAAGGGTAACCTTCAGCACAGGAACTCTTATCCAGGCACCAGAAACATCGGTCAGGGGTCAGCCCAGTGCCTTAATCAATAGAGTTTACCAGCTAACAACTGTTTGCTGCTTTCTGGATGCAAGCTCGGTCTAGGATCCAGGAAATTCTAAGTTGCTCTTCTTGTCTGGCACCTGCTTGGAGCCAGTGCAGGCCTAATGACATCACTGATTTCCTTGCTGGAAAGTGCCAGCCAAGCAATGCTGTCCAGGGGCCTGATGTTGGTAACTGGGGGTGCTTGATGCAGCCTCATGAGGGTGGAGCATGAGCTCTGGGGGGCTCGGACTGAGCCCAGGGTTCAGAGAATCGACGATTCTGATTTAGAAGCACATAGAGCTCGTGGTTCCACTTGTGTGTGAGCTGCGACTCCTAACATCCCTCAGACCCTTTTTTAAACCTCATTTCATCTAGGTCTTGCTGTCTTAGGTTTCTCCCCCCAAGGCAGCATTGATTCATCTCCCTGTTGTGTACATTTGTATATATACAATTGTGCAGCCAGAATGTGCCTGGTTTTTTGTGTCTGTGTCCATTGTAAGCACTCAGGTGTATTTCTGCTTTATTATCTAGCTGTGATTTATATGTGACTGTTTTCACTATTATCAATACAATTTTATGGTCCTTTGTCTCTGAAGAGCTCAGAACACTTTATGTATTGTCTGATTTTTAAAAGCAAAGGATTTTAGAAAGAAAAGAACTAGTCCATTAAATTAGCCCTTGAGGGAGGGAGAAACGACAGGGAGAGAAAGGCCTGCCGCTCAGTTTCAGTCCCAAAGAGAGCTGTTTCGTAGTTGGAGGAAGATTCAAGAACCTTCCTTCCTACCCGCTCTGTCCACTTCTAAGCCAGGGATTTTTCTGCTTAACTTACTGGGGTGATTCAGAGCAGAATGGGTGGGGGTTGAGGGGGCGGTAGTGAAGGGGCCTGAGGTGAGCCCCATCCTGTGTGTCCTGTGTCCCCACCAGCTGCATCCTGGGCCTCTCCAGCATCTTGGGGAAGAGGCTCCAAGGTGACCGTCCCGCCCACTGCCATTGTACTCCCGGCCCTGCTCCTGGAAGGCTGGAGAGCCTGGCCTCCCTGCTTTCTCATAGAGGCAGCTGGGGGAGGAGCGGGTCGAAGGGCAAGCCATCCCTGGCTCGGCCCGTTGCCCGGGTGACCTGCCATGGGCATTGTGAGCAGCTCCTCTTACAGGATTAGGGCTGTTCCGCATTCTTCTCCGATGGGCAGCACAGGCCTGCCTGGCCGCTGTCCCTTCTAGCCGGAAGCCATTGTCTGCCTCCAGAGCCCTGTGAAAGGCTGGATTAGAGGCCCCTCCCCTGGGGCAGAGGGTCCCTTTTTTCTGTTTCCTTTTGAACCTCGAGGGGACGCAAACCCTTCTGGGAAGCTGAATAAGCGCCATTTGCCTCAGTCTGTGTCTTCGTTTCTCATAACTCACCATCTCCCATAAGAGGAAGTCTGGTATTTACCATTCGTGTCCAGGAGAGGCTTATCAGGAGCAGCCCATGACTCCTGCCCTGTTGCCAGCACAGATGCCTCGTCAGCTCCCAGGGCCCCGCGGCCTGCGTTCGTGGGCGCGTCCCACAGACTCCGCGGACGCAGGCAAGCTCCTCAGACACCTTCGTTCAGCCTGTTTATTTCACAGAGAAGCAAAACCATCTCCCCACGGAGACACCCAAGAGCCAGGAGGAGCCGGGAGGAGAACCCCAATCCCCAGTTTCCAGGCAGCGCCTCACGCACACACACCTCACAGGCCCTGTCCCCTTGTCAGCGCTGCTGCTGAGGGGGAGAAAAACACCACAGGCTCTGAGAGCTCTGCTGAAACTGCTTCTTGGCAAGTGTTTCTCCATTTCCTCTGGCCCCACCCCGTCCTTCCTGACCACAGCGCCTGCACCAAGGGGCAGTCCTTATGCAGTGTTTTCACCCTACAGACAAGACAGCGAAGCCCAGAGGACTGTGCACCTCTCTCGTCCTGGGTTGCTGGCAAAGGGATATTCCTCACCTAGGCTGAAGAAACTATGGGTTTTGTAGGTGATTTTTGGGGGTAGTTAAACCGATACAAAATTAAAACTTGCGATTTTAACCATCTCAAGTATACGATTCAGTGACATGTTGTGCAACTATCACCACTTCCCATTTCTAGAGCCTCGCATGGTCCCAAACAGATACTCTGTCCCTATTAAACAGTAACCTCCCACTCTACCAAAGTCCCTCTCTACCACTCCCCAGCTCTGATAACCTCTCTTCTGCTTTCCCTCCTCCAACTTTGCCAATTCCAATTGCCTCATCTAAGGGAAACTGTACAATACTCGTGTTTGTGTCCAGTTTATTTCCTCAGCATAATGTTTTCACGGTTCATGTGTGTCTGGCCATTAGAGACCTTGTGATTCTGAGCAAGTCATTAGCCTCTCTTGGCATCGGTTTCCTCACCTGTAAATGGGGATGATGATGCTCGTTTTTTTTTTTTTTTTTTAAGATTTATTTATTTGTGTATACAGGGGTCAGGCCAGAGGTGCAGGGGTGGTGAGAGGCACTGAAATACACTGCTGAGGGGAGCAGCGGACTGGTCAGAGAGGTCTGCTGTGCCATGTGGGTCAGCTCCCTGGCCGGGGATCAAAGTTGCTGAAGCAGCTGCGGCTAGCTTCATAGTGCTGCACTTTAACCTGTTGCGCCACCAGGGAGGGCCCGATGATGCTTTCTGTTGATGTGAAGAGCAGTTTATTTACCAGCACAACATGGTCTCTCAGCACCAACTGCATGCCAGGCACTGAACTCATATCCAGTGGTGAATAAAATGGACCCCCTCCTTGTCCTCAAAATATAGCTGGCATTACCTTTTTTTTTTCTTTTAAGATTTATTTATTTATGCATACAGAACTGGGGTACAGGCCAGAGGTGCAGGGGGTGGTGAGAGGATTCACCAGAGACAGAGTGGGGAGCACAGCAGGCAGATTAATGAAGTACACTGCTGAGGGGAGCAGCAGGAGAGACAGGAGAGATCTGCGGCACCATGTGGGTCACCTCCATGGCCTGGGATTGAACTCATGCTTCAGTGCTGCGCTTTAACCCATTGCACCACTAGGGAGGGCCTGGCATTGCTTTGTAAGCCATAGAGCACTGACTTAATGAACACAGTCTGTCGGCTTCCTTGTTAAGAGCCCATCACCATCTGTGCCATGGGCTGGACCCGAATGAGGTGAGAACCTTGTCCAAAAAGAACACTCTCCAGCCTTGCTACCACCCTGCATCTCTAGATACAGCAGCTTCAGGCAGATCATCAAGCTCGGGGCTCCTTGAGTGTCCTCAGGGCATCTTTTCATGCTAGATCTTTCTCATTCTCCACATTCTCTCTTCCCAGGTGGCCATCAAGTCAATTCGGAAAGATAAAATCAAGGATGAGCAAGATATGATTAACATTCGGAGGGAGATTGAGATCATGTCTTCACTTAACCATCCCCACATCATCGCCATCCATGAAGGTACGAGGGGGTCATGTGTGCGTGTGTAGGAGCAGTCAGATCAGATGACACAAAAGTGGGAAAAGGACAGAAGAGTCAGGCAGAAGTTGCATATGAAACCAGCTGTATGGGTTTGGGCAAATAATTTTCATTTCTGCTCAGGGCCCCAATTCCAGATAACCCCACCCGCATCACAGGTCACCACAAAGTTCAAGTGAAATGTCACGGGTGGCTTGGCTCAGAGGAGGAAACCAACAGAGTGTGGGCTCTGTGTTGTTGTTATTGTTCGAGTTTCCATACTTGAGCGCTAGCTCCCCACCCCGCCGAGATTCTTAGCGATCCGGGGGAGGCTGAACTATCCGTAGGCCTGCACCTGTCTCGGTGTGTGGGTGCTGTTCTTCTTCATGCATCCCAAGAACCAGGTCTCCCAGAGTCTGCCCTGGGTTCTGAATCATGCTGCTAGGGTCTGGTCCCTGCCTCTTCCTCTTCCCTCTCGACCTCCTCTACTCTGACATCAGTGCGGTGCTCCACTCCAGCTGCTCCGTTCCCTGTGACCCAGACAACAAAGCAAGCAAGAGAGGGTGACAAGGAGGGGGAGCACCCTCCCACACACACCTGTCTGCTTCAAGTCTTTACATAATAGCAATTAGGCAGGAAATGAGGGGTGGCATCGGCTGCAGAAGGGGAGGTAGAGAGTTTTGTGTGGCTTTGCCTCTGTCAGAACATTCTGGGGTGCAAGGAAGAGAGAAATTTTCTCTTTCGGGTTCTCTTCCTGGGCCAAGGGTAAAGCCACTGACCAGGCCTATGGCCTGAGGCTGGCCCATGAAGAGCCCAGGCAAGAGGCTGAGAAGGCTAATTGTATCTCTGTGTATTTCCCCCAGGGAAGAGTGGGCAGAGGGCAGAGCTGAGACTGGTGATTGTGTGTGTGCGTGTGAGCAAGTGCATTGTACCCATCACCCCCAATCTGTACCCCAGTTATCTGGGAACTGAGCTCTGAAGCCAGGATGTGGTTTGTTCTAAACCCTCAGATTCAGCAACAAAAGGTCGTGGTCACTGAGCACCCCCGGCAGAGCTCCCCAGGATCACCCCTCCTTGCAGCAGGCTTGGGAGGTGCCCGCAGAGGGGAGAAAGGAGGCTCCGGCCTGGGTTCTGACTTCTACCCTAGGGGTTTCCTAGAGTTAACCCTGGATGGCTCTTGCTCCCTAATTCCATGGCACGGATACCGGGCTGGTGTTCGCGAGGCAGCCCGAGGGCCTGGGCTAGCATGGATCAAGGCCACTTGCCTCTGCTCCCCTGGGAAAAAGCACAGTCCTCCTGGCCATGTCTCTAGTAGCCTGCAGTAGAACCTCCTCCCTGAGCTGTTTCCCACAGATTACACAGCCGTAGCTCTGGGGCTGGCTGGGCGAGCCAGACTCATAGGACCCGTTTGACACAAAGATGCAGTGTCACGGACATGCGTGCTCCGACACACCCAGCTGAGGGGCCAGTTTGGTGAGCTGGTCCTTCTCTACCTTTCCAGGGGCCTGAGGCCAGACGAGGTCTGAGGCATAAGATGGGGCCCTCCTACACATGGAGATGAGCCAGCTGGGGCAGGCTGACTGCCAGGAGCCCAGTCAGTCAATTAATTGCCAAATATTTTATTTAAAGATTTTATTAAGTTATGCATATAAGAACTGGGGTGTAGGCCAGAGATGTGGGGTGTGAGAGGATTCACAAGAGACAGAGTAGGGAGCAGAACAGACAGATCTACTGAAATACACTACTGAGGGGAGCAGCGGGTGAGACGGGAGAGGTCTGTTGTGCCATGTGGGTCAGCATCCTGGCCGGAGATCAATCTCAGGCCACAGTGGCTATTGCTCACTTGATAACACTGAGACTTTAAACCCTGTACCATGAGAGGTTATTTTTCAAGTGTGTGCGTGAGGCTGCTGATAATAAGTCTAAACAGTAGGCGCCAATCAGAGGGCTTACTTACACATCAGACCCGGTGCCAGTCTGCCAGCCTGCCCACGGCTCTCACTGGCTTCTCTTTCTTACCCCAGCCTGTGAGACGCCTATATTTACTACCTTCTTTATTTATGTGATCATTATATTCTTCACATGGAGAAACTGAAACACAGTAGTGGAATAACTTGTCCAGATCCCCCAGCTAGGGAGCGATGAGGCATTGCATCCTCATGATTTGCAGAGCTTGCCCACCGTCTCAGGCAAAGGGCACTGGGTGCTGCTGCAGAGAGGTTGAATTTTCATGCCCCTGACGGGGGCTGCCTGGCTGGCATGCGCAGGATCATTTTAAGAATCTCGAAAATCTGACCTTCCACGAGAGGGAAGGGGAGCCCGGTGCTTTGGCTTTGCCTGGTGGCTCCTGGAGCTTCAAAGGCCTCCCGCCCTGGCCCCCACGTCTGGAGAGCTGTCCTGCCTGGTTGGGGGCTGGGAGGAGTGCCCCCCACCACCTGGGGGAGCAGTATCTTCGAGTCCCTGACTTTCCACCTTGTTCTGCTCCAGTGTTTGAGAACAGCAGCAAGATGGTGATCGTCATGGAATACGCCAGCCGGGGTGACCTGTACGATTATATCAGCGAGCGGCCGCGGCTGAGTGAGCGTGATGCCCGCCACTTCTTCCGGCAGATCGTCTCGGCTGTGCACTACTGCCACCGGGTGAGCCCCCACCAGGGCGCTGCCGGGTCCCTTGGGCTCCAGAGACAGCCCGTCACTGCTGCAGGCTCCCTCAGGGAGACAGAAGCAGACCCGAGGCGAGATCTGGGTTCTCCACCGAGGAGATGGCCACTCTGGCTTTGCCAGGGCTGTAGGGTCCTGTGATGTGTCACAGTCAGTGACAGTAAGGACATACCTGTGCCCACCCTATCTGAACCTCCTGCGTTTACCCCACCTTCCAGACTAGGTCCTCATCCTCTCCCCTCCTCGGTGACCTTGCCCTGAACCTCATTCCTCCCTCTTTCAGAACGGGGTGGTGCACCGTGATCTTAAGCTGGAGAACATCCTCTTGGATGCCAATGGAAATATCAAGGTGAGCCCCTCTTCTTGCTTCCAAGCGCTCCCCACCCCTTGCTGGGCTTTCTGCCCTGTCCCTTGTCAAGTATCCCAAAACCCTCAGAGGTAGCAGAAGGAGTTAAGCCAAGTTTAGATTTCTGTCCCTTCCAGTGCCTTCTTTTATAAATGGCTGCGCCTGGGCTCACAGCGAGGTCTGCTGGCTCCCAGACCAGAGCTCCGATGTCACAGGCTGATAGCAGTCTCTTCTGGGGTCCGCTTGCGCTCACAACCTCGAGATTGGCCAGGAAAGGCCATGGCCCCAGGCCTCCTCACATGCACACATGCTGATACTTTAATCTGCTCTGACGAGGGGCATCCCCAAGCCACACGCTCCAGCACCTAACTTCCCATGCCTGCGTGCTTAGTTTAGGTCTGAGAAGTCCATAAACTCAGCTCTCAGGGCTGGAAGGAGAGATGGCAAGGGTTGCCTCTGCCAAGACTCTGTACTCAGGCCCTCAGAACCACCTAAACCCAGAACACAATCCCTTCTCCAGAGGCTGCTGACCTGTGCCCTGAGGTGGCCCTGACCGAGTTTACTTCCCTTATCCAGCCATTTCCCAGAGCAGGTGGGGCTGGCTTTGATGCTGCAGTAGGCGGGACTGTGGCTCCCATAAACCCACAGAACCTGGACTGGCAGAGACTTTCCCACCTGACTCTGCCTTCTCCTTTGTTATGGGATTTGCCTTGTAACTGCTTGATAAGAGGCCAATAAAGCCATAAACATTTCAGGAGCTCCACCCTGGACACACATGACCCCTTCTGGGGCCAGAGGTTGGGGACTGCAGGGAATTGACCTCCGCCTCTATCTGCATGCATGGTCAAGGAAAGGGTCTCTCAAGGGTCTCTCCTGGGAGCAAGAAGTTGGGTTGGGGCCCCTCAGCCCTCAGCATCAGATGTCTCACGGAACCCTATAAGAAGATTCTCCTCCTAGGCAATCTCCGCGGCCCCAGTCTTTATTGTAGCTTCATTACTGCTCCTCAGCTACAGGGGGACCCGGGCTCTTGTGCCCACGGGTGCTGCCCAGGTGTGGGCAGAGGATGGGCCCTTTGCTGGGAAGGACAGATGAAGTCTGTGTTTAGCGGGACTGGCTGACTTCTGAGTGTGTGGCATTGGCATGAGAAACTGGCCGACCCCACCCTCGGACAGACCCCGCTTTGGTCAGTGTCCCCTTAGTCCCAAAGATCACACCGAGGCTGCAGTGGACAGTGGCGAATGGGTTAGTACAGAGAGCACACTGACAGAGCAGCAGGTGGCCATGACACCCCGCCCCGAGAGGTGGACTTGCTGGTTGTGGAGGACGAGTCAGACAGGAGCGTCTCTGTCTCCAGAGAGGACAGCCTGAGCGAGGGGCCTGGGAGCAGCAAGGGCCCCCTGCCTCTGCCTATGCTCTCCTGGCATGGCCTCCCAGGTGCTCTCTTCCAGCACATGAGCTCTGTTCAGTGCCAGCGAGGGGCCAGGGTCGCGAGACCCCTGCTTTCCAGCTCAGGCCGGGGCAGGGCCAGGCTAAAAACGGCAGACGCTCATGGCCATGGAGTGACCCCTGCCTCTGTCTGACCCCATCCTGCAGATCGCTGACTTTGGCCTCTCCAACCTCTACCATCAAGACAAGTTCCTGCAGACATTTTGCGGGAGTCCCCTCTATGCGTCGCCCGAGATCATCAATGGGAGGCCCTACACAGGCCCAGAGGTGAGCGGCTGCCGACCCTGCCACCTGCCGTGACTGCAAGTCCCTCGGAGATAGGCTGGCTTCCAGGGCACAGAACTCAGCCTCCCTCCACATACACCCCCCAACCTCTCCAACCCCCCCACCCCCCGCAAGTGATTTGCTTGGTATCGAGCAGGAGTGGCAAAATTGGAACTAGAATTTGTGTTTTCCTCCGCAGTCCAGTTCTCTGCCCCTCACGTCTCCCTGGTTCCCATATCCTTTCCCAGCACCCACTCAGCCTCCCCGGAGAGGGAGTGTCCTTACAAGACCCCAACACTGCTCTGTGTTTGTGGCTCTCCTCCTGCAGTGTCACGCCCTGGCCCCTGGGTACTACTGGGAGGTGGGCCTCAATGCGTTGGTTCTGGGTTGTCCAGCATGCACCCCTTTCTTTGGGGGTTCAAGGCGCAGCTGGACGCCGTCCAACCTGAGGCGTCCCCTGCTGATTCTCCCCTCTGCTCAGGTGGACAGCTGGTCCCTGGGCGTTCTCCTGTACATCCTGGTCCACGGCACCATGCCCTTCGACGGGCAGGACCATAAGACGCTGGTGAAACAGATCAGCAACGGGGCCTACCGGGAGCCACCTAAACCCTCTGGTGAGTGCAAGGAGGCTCGAGGCTCATCCAGGCCGCAGGCAGGAATGAAATGGTGGCAGTGAAGTTGGACCCCACCCTGGGTGGATCACTCACCTTCTCCCAGGCACTTGCCTGCTTCCCAGAGTGACCTCCCAGGAGGGAGGGGGCCTCTCTGTTTCCTTTCCTGGAAAGGGAAGTGCTTACCGAATGTGGGAAGTGCTTCCCAAGCTGTAACTTAGAATCTTCCTGTCCCACCTCTCTGGTGAGGGCAGGCAGGAGCAGCTGTATGCAGATGCTTCTTCTGAAGGGACTCTGCTTCAGGGTGTCACCCTCAAGGGAGGGGAGGAGAAGACAGCTGACATACAGGACACTGAAGGGGCTTTAGCCCCTGGGTCCTGAGGGGCTGTGGGGCAGAAGAGGAAGTTCAAAGGCAGTCCAGGAAGGGGGAGGTGGGTGGGGAGAGAGGTGCACACAGCCCTGGTGGCAACAGCCGCATCCACAAGGAGTGAGCAGCAGGGTCCAGCACGTGTCCAGGGGCTGCCCATTCTCTGGGCCACCAAACCGAATCCCCGTCTTCTGTCTTCCAGACGCCTGTGGCCTGATCCGGTGGCTGTTAATGGTGAACCCCACCCGCCGGGCCACCTTGGAGGATGTGGTCAGCCACTGGTGGGTCAACTGGGGCTACGCCACACGTGTGGGGGAGCAAGAGGCGCTGCAGGAGGGAGGCCCCTCGACCAGCGACTCCAGCCGGGCCTCCATGGCCGACTGGCTCCGGCGGTCCTCCCGGCCCCTCCTGGAGAACGGAGCCAAGGTCTGCAGCTTCTTCAGGCAGCATGCACCTGGAGGCGGCGGCCCGGGGCCAGGCCTGGAGCGCCAGCATTCCCTCAAGAAGTCCCGCAAAGAAAACGACATGGCCCAGAATCTCCAGGTGGACATGACTGACGACACCTCCCCGCGCCCAAGCAAGGGCAGCCTCAAACTGCCAAAGGGCATTCTCAAGAAGAAAGCGCCAACCTCCTCGGAGAAGGCCAGGGAGGACCCTGAGCAAGGCTCAGACCCTGCCGGCCCTGGACTGGCCGCCCCTCTGCTCCCCAAGAAGGGCATCCTCAAGAAGTCTCGGCAGCGGGAGTCTGGCTACTACTCGTCTCCTGAACCCAGTGAGTCTGGGGAGCTCTTGGATGCAGGGGACGTGTTTGTGAATGGGGACTCCGTGGAGCAGAAACCCCCCCCAGCTCCAGGGCTGCCCGTGCACCGCAAGGGCATCCTGAAACACAATGGCAAGTTCTCTCGCTCCACCCTGGAGCTCAGCGGGCCTGCAGTCTTTGGCTCCCTGGATGAACTGGCCTCACCCAACTCGCCAGCCCGGGCCAGCCGCCCCTCTGTGGCTGTGAGTGAGGACAGCATCCTGTCCTCCGAGTCCTTTGACCAGCTGGACTTGCCTGACCGGTTCCCCGACCCCCTGCTGCGGGGCTGTGTGTCTGTGGATGACCTGATGGGCCTTGAGGAGCCCCCCTCAGAGGGTCCTGGAAGCAGAGGCCTGAGACGCTGGCGACAGGACCCCCGAGGGGACAGCTGCTTTTCCCTAGCGGACTGCCAGGAAGTGACAGAGGCCTACCGACAAGTCCTGGGGGTCTGCTCAAAGCTCAGCTGAGGGTGGGGGAGGGGGCCCCCGCCCTGGGGCAGGCTCTGAGAAGCACCTGGCTGCACCCTGAGGGGAGATGTCTTGCTCCCTCCTCCTAGGACAGCTTCCCAGCCCAAAGCTGGGCTGGTTTGCAGTTGAGCGCTGGGGAGAATGTGGGAAGTAGCACGGGCATTGCATTGCGAGTTCTGTGTCATTGGCGTCTTGGTTCCCCATGGAGCCAAGAACATAAAGGGGAGGAATGGCCCCACTGAGGCCAGGTCATGCTTGGCAGCTACTCTCCGGTGCCCTGCTGGCAGGGATGAGTAAGATGAGTAAGTCTGTGCGAGGTCGTTTCCTGCCAAAGAGGCTGGAAGCTCTTCACATACAATCCCACCCCCACCGACCACTACACTAGAAGGTGGCACCCCTTCTGTGCCCGGGCACCCTGAGAGTAGTCTCCTGGAGTGCCCCCTGCCTTATGTACCCTAGCAGTAAGAGACCACGCCTCTGTTTCCTCAAAGGTTCTCCCCCCTTTCCCATCCTCCAAACGGGGCGCAAGCCTCCTCGAGCTGCTGTTCTGAATCTAGAAGACTTGAAAAGGCTCAGGCTGCTATTGAGCGACATCTCCAGGGGCCCAGACTTCCAGGGATCCCACCTTGAACCTCAAAGACACTGAACTCTGACCTCTGAGCTGCTCCTGCTACTGAGAATGGATGTGTCTGTTTTTCTGGGCTTCCAGGACCCTGGAATGTCCTTATTTATTTTTATGTTTTCAACTGTGTTTTTTTTAAAAAAAAAAGAAAAGAAAAGAAAATCTTGCCATTTTCAGTAATGTTCTAGGTAAATTCACTGTGATTTCTAAGTCCTGTGAACAGAGGGGTGTTTTTGCAATCATCTCCTGCTCACCAGGGAGAAAGAGGATCTTCTCTGGCCGGAGGGGTCTCTGGCTCCCTCACTCCTGGCCCTGAGCTTTCTGCTTGCTGCTCCCCTCTTCCCTGCATCTGCAGCCCGAAAACACCGCTGCATATCGGGGTTGTCCTGGAACAGAACCACTCCATTAAAAACCAGAACAGTGATTGGGAAACAGCTTCCTTTGGTGTCTGGGGTGCAGGTCTTGAAACCCTCTCTGGATAATACTCGTGCCCCCCCTGAACCCCCCCCCCCGCCCTCACCTGGGGTGGGAAACAAAGAACGCGCTACTTAAAAACAAAACACAAGCACCCCAAACCCTCTCCAATCTGAGGCTCCCTGGCCCTGCTAAGCACTCACAGGTGGACGAGCCCTGGGCGAGGTCTCCCTAATGGAAGAACGGGGTTGGGTTGGTGATCACACAGCCCGGCCTCCACCCTCTTCTCCCACCCCGCCCCCAACCAGCTCTGTCCCCCTACTGCTTTGAAGACACCCCCAAGGCCTTTATCCTCTCCTTCCAAAGAAAACCCCTTCCTTCCAGCGCTGAGTAGCAGCTCTCCCGCTGCCCCCACAGCCGTGCTCCTTAAAGAAGTAAGGAATGCCTGGAATGTCCTCCCCTCTCACGGGCCGCCCCTCTCGCCCCCTGTGGAGCATTCCCGAGCGCCTGCCCCATTGAGAAACTCCGGGACTCCGGCTGTGGATGAAAAGGAGAATAAGGACAAAGGGCAGGCAGGCAGCCGGCTGGCTCCGGCTGCGAGCGGCTCCCTCCCCCACGCCCTTACCAGCTTCTGCTCTCTGAGGCCCCCAAACGACCCCAGCTCTGGCCGGCTCTAGCTCCCCACCTGCTCCCGCAACAGCCAGGGCTTCTGCAAGCCTGCCAGCCGGAGATACCTGCCCCGATGGGGCTTCCAGACCTTTTCTCCTTGCGTATGGGCAACTGGCAGAGTCACTGAGTCTGGGGAGGAGGTGGGGAACCCACAGCAGTTACAGGGTTAAAGGAGGCTCTAACTGGGGTGTTCCCGCTTGCTGTTCATCTGTGGAGTGGGCTCAGTGGAACACAGCGAGTGGCACAGCCCTGGTGCCCCCACCATGAGGTCTTAGTCTCAAGAAGGCAGTGGACTGTGTAAAAAAAATCTGATCCCCACCCCGCCAAAAAAAAATCTGACCCAGTAGGGAAGTTGTTGACAGTTTAGATGGGTGAGGGAAATTTTGAAGGCTTTTGAAAGAATTGCAGCTCGGGAGACAAGACCAGGTCCATTTATTAAGCGCTTATGTATGAATGTGTCATCGCACTGCTCAGTCCTTTACAACTTTTATCATTCTCAAATTACAGCAGAAGAAACAGAAACCCCAAAACATTAAGTAACTTGCCTAGCTTGCAAGTGGGAGAACCAGACCTCAGTTCCTGGTCTGCACCATGTCAAGTCTTAGCAGGGCTGGGGGAGGGACGCCTTTGAACTGGATTAGGCGGGAGACGGGAGAAAGAGTGTCACTGAGAGGAACTAAGGGTCCTTCCTGAGACTTTTCCCAGGCAGTAGGAATACTCAGCCCGCCGCCCCAAATGCCCTCCCCTCATCTCCAGACTCCCAAAGTGGGTGATAGGGAGTAGGGGCTGACCTGGGTCAGGGAGGTCTCAGCAGAGGACAACCAGGTCTGGAACTGGGACAGTAGGAGGGATGTCACAGCTGTGAGTCCCATCAGTTCCATCTCAGCGGGGAAGGGCTGGTTTCTGAGAAGAAAACAGAGGTGTTCAGAGCTGGACTCTTTGTCCTCTTGTGATCTGTTTGTTTGACCTCTTCCCGTTGGGGGGGGTGCTGAGAGGGGTCAGGAGGAAAGGGAGTGGGGAAGCAGAAATGGGATTGAAGGGACTATTTTAGGGAAGGGAAAGGAGAAGAGACCCGAGCAGTGGGGAGCCCAGCTCAGCCCTCCCCCTCACCTGCCAGAATGCTTCATTCCAAAAACATTCCTGAAAGCAGGCTCAGAGAAGTGACGCTCGGCCCCAGGGGAGAAGGCTGGAGCTACTGGAACGTTTAGTGCCACATCAGCGGGCTTCGGGAATGTGAATAACCCCGACAATGACCAGGGGCAACTTTAGGACTCTGGAAAGAACCTTCTGAGACCAAGTCTAGAAATGACTTGGTAAAATTCCGCAGTTCTCGGCCCTTTCCTGGGACGACAATATCCCATTTGTCCCTGAGGGGGACCCCCTCACAGGCTGGTCCTGTGTGTGGAGGGGGAGCCCTAGCCTGTTAGCTTATGCCACCCTCAAGACCACCCATTCACAGCTCCCTGGGTCCCAACCAGCTGGCTGCCATGGTCTTCCTGGTAAGATCCAGTAAAGGGGAATGGGGAGTCATGTGTGGAGAACAATCATACCTGTTAGGTGAGCACCCTGCTGTCCCAGGAGGCACAGTCGTGAAGAATGACCCACAGCCCCCAGACAAGTCTAAAAAGACTGAAGACCAAGATGGACTCAGAACAAAGGATTAGCTGAAGGACCTGGGCGTTTTTTACACAGAAGAAGGTATGTGGGAGTAGGGGGGAGGACCAGAAGACAGGGTGGCATTCCAAAGACGGTGGTCTCATGGGCTCATGACTCAGAGAAGGACCTAGGCCAAGGGCGAGAGCCTCTGAAGTGCTGAATTCTGCTTGACAAGCCAGTCACCTGTGTGATGTTTCATTTACTCCCTCAATAAGTATTGATGGCCTGAGTGCCTACAGGGTACACTGGGCTAAGCTCCCAGACCATACTTGAACAGAAATTGCTACCCTCAGAGGGCTTCCATTCTAGCGGAGGAAAATAGGCAAAGCAGTGAGTATAATAATAGAGAGAGGTTTTAGAGAAGTGGACATGGGTGCAGGGAGGAAGAGGACAAGGAATCCGCTTAAATAGGGTGATCAGAGAAAGTCTCAGGAGCAGGAGGCCTGTCTATAAAGATCTAAGGAGAGAAACAAACTTTGGGGACATTTGGGGTAATTTCCAGGAGGCAGCAACAGCCAATCCCAAGACCTGTAAGGTGGGAGCAGGTCAGGCAAGTTCTAAAACGAGGCAGGAGCAGTGGGTGAAGCAGTGGGTGAAGAGCATGGCATAGATAGGGGCAAGAGAGGAGGGGCCCAAAAGAAGACAGCCTGGAGCCGAGGCTGCCATCACAGGCCCGTGGCTCTTACTCTGAGTGAACTGGGGGGCCAGAGGGATGTTTTGGACAAAAGGAGTAAACACATCTGACTAAGGATTTTTTTTAAATTCCTCTAGCTGCTCGTTAAAAACAGCCTGAGGGAGGGTGAACCCATGATGTTTGCCGTAAAAGACTTGAAGTTCCACCCACTGGGCCAGAGGTTGCAGGTGGAGAGGTGGGGGCAGCGGGGCCCCATTTACACCTCCCTGAAGAGAAGGGACAAGGGAATCATGAAGAGAGAGGAGTTTGGGAGAGATGTGAAGTGGAGATGGACATCTAGGAGCTGGTAGTAGAAGGAATAGCTGCTCTGGGTGGAAAATCAGACTCAGCTGGTCACTAAAGTCAGAGGTTTTCAGGTTTTATTGGACGGGGAAGCGGTTGACCAGTTGCTTATGGAAGCTTAAGCGTTTAAAAGGTGGCTACTGAACTGGGAAGGGAGGCGTGCTGGTTTTCTGGGTAGAAGAACTGGGATGCTTCATGCCTGGGTGCAGGCCAGAGGTTGGGTGGTGAGAGGATCCACCAGAGACAGAGCAGGGAGCAGAACAGGCCGATGGGCCGAAACACACTGCTGAGGGGAGCAGCGGAGAGACAGGACAGGTCTGCTGCGTCACATTAGGCCAGAGCAGTGATAGTGCTGACACTTAACTCCTGCTCCACCTGGGATGCCCGAGACGGGCAGTTTTGCCTGGCTTATCAACTGAGAAAGGCCAAGGGCTCTCTGTTAGGTATGAAGAAGTAGGGTTGGCCAGGGCAGTTGAGTTTTACTGAGATTTAGTCTCCCCTTCTGACCCGTGGGGGGCTGTGCTGGGAGCTTCCAGGCCTACAGCTTGGCACTCCATGGCTTCCCATCTTCAGAAGCTTTCCCAGACTTTATGAGGACATTGAAGTGTCACTCAGGACTTCCTCTCACTTGGCAGAGGGGACAGGAGCGACCTGGACAGCCCAAGCCCCCAGAGAGTGAGCAGACCTCTAATTCCAAGTACTTGCCCGCCCTGTGTTTCTGAACACAGGGGTGGCAGATGCTTGGTTTTAGGAGCGGAAGCACAGCCCTCTGAGGAAGCGGCCTTTGATGTACCAGGCTGGGCCTCTGCTCACTGTCACTTGAGAACTTATGCAAGTGAGGGCCATAACTGACCTCTAAGGGGCTTGCCGCTTTAGGGCCCACAGCTTCCCTGGGGAATAAAACATTTCTCTCCTGGCTCCTTAGGGCTCTAAAAGCAGCTGCTTTGCAAAGGATCGCCCCATGTCTTTTGGTCATTTCTTCCCTTTCTGGCTTCCAATCTTCTCCCAGATCTAATCCCACCTGACAGTGTCATCCTCTGGGTGCCTTTAGGTCAAGCTGAGCCAGTGAGTCATCCAGGGCGGGGGGTGGGGGAGGTGGGGGGGGTGTTCAAGTCCATAAATGGGCAGACCCTAACTTCAGGTTTCAGTTTCCCAGAAAGCCATTCTTTCCCTTCTGTCCCCCTCCCCCAAGGGAATTCCCCAGAGAAAAGAAAGACCTGTGGAGGGTTAGCTTTGACTTATGGAATGCTAGATATGGCAGAGTTTCTTAGAGAAGAGGCTAGACTGTGACTCAGCCTCCCTGATAAACAGACACTGCCGGTCAGGAGTTTTCCAGTCCAGGAGATCAAAGACCGGATTCCTGGTGGAAGTGACCAACTTTGGAGTCCAGGGCCCAGCCAACAAGGCCTCCTCCCTGGTCTTC